CAAGCTGAAGCATTTAGTAAACTCCTATATAAAGCTGAAATTCGACAGCACAAGACATAAAATCAAACCAGAGGGGCCTGTGCCACAAAAACATTAACTGTTTCTAAATCAAAGTTTGAAATACTGCTATATTAAAGTACAATACTGGTTTGGAAATGTCTGTTATTCCAAAAACTGTCTAGTATTACCAACCAGAGTATATGGAAGACTGCTGAAGGGTAGAATATATAGGATGTAGACATAAAAACATAGGAAGACAAATTATAAGGTTGCCTCAGTTGTGACAAAGGAATTCCACAAGATAGGCACATAACAAGGGTGCTGAAAGAACGGGCTAAGCATTTCAAGGCCAAATTTGGAATTTAACCTTCTCCAGTTGTCTTAGGGGAAAAAAAGAATTGCTTTATAAGCTCTTGTAGGGTTACAGTACACAAAAGGGCATAAAATCAATTATGCAAAAATTAAAATACTGAAGTAAGTGATCCCCTGAAGTCCTTAGCAACTGAAGCTGATACTATACAATTTGTTGTACACTTGAAATCAAGAATGGAACTGGGAAAGACAGAGAAGCACCACTATATGCTTGAAGCACTGTAATTCTTCCAGCAGCAAGTATCCATGCAGAACTTAAAGTTCTTGCACAGTAATCTTTATCTACCACAAAACAGAAATTTCAGTTTACTTTTGACACTTAATTGCTTTTCATTTTACCTTGCTGCATTATTCCACAAACGTCAGAAGGTACTGTATGTCACATAAAAGAAAATGGTTTTTTCCCCTATTCCTGTGGGATGCAAGTTATCAGATAGTTCTTCCCGCACTGGAGTGTACTCCAAAGAGGGGTCAGAGCCTGCACAAACTGCTTGCCAGAAAAGCACAGAATGGATGAAAGTTATTTATCATAACCATATGTATTTTCGTCCCACCGTCTTACTAGTTTCTGCACTACTGCTGAAATAAAGTGCAAGTACGGTACAAGAAACATTTGATTTGGAATCTACTACTAGCAGAGGTTAAGGATAGGGAGAAGATGCTACTCATCTCTCCCAGTCCCTGGATGGAGGTTTTCTGTTCTTTAGTCACTATCGTTGTGAAAAGAAAAAAAAAAAATTAAAAATCTTCAGCAGAAGGGATTGTTGCTTTACAGTACTTCAGACTAGAAAACTTAAATCTTTATTCCCTAGAAGGATGCTGAGAATGAACTTAATCCTGAGAGTACAACTAGTGTGACTTAAAAAGTTAAATAGCTCCATAAAATTGCAGACTTCAGATTAAACCCTCCCCCATTAAAAAATCTGGATCCTGAAATCACTCCAAAGACCAGGTCCATTTGGGGGGAACCAGTATCAGCTTTATGTAACTCCCACTGACAATTGACTTAGGTCTTCTTAGACAATAAAATTATTATTCACTGCTTGTGAATTTCCAGCACAAAGCCTGTTATGGTTTGTAAATAAACTGTTACACACTAAAGAAGCTTTTTTTTAACAGGGACAGATGTACTACAGAAATGTTACTTTAACATAAAAATTCCTTATCAACCTACCAACTAAATTTTATTTCATTTTTTAAATTATTTTGCATTCCTTTGAGTACACTGTTAAAGTAATGCATAGTGTTTCCTATCAGATTATAAATACATTTGAGAAAAAAAATTATAAAGAGCATAAAAACTGAACATTTAAGTGCTCAAAATTTTGAACACATCAGATCAGTTGCATGGCAATTGTAGTACAATGCAAGTGTACGTATTGTAACATTTTAATTGCATGGCCTTGTACTGTTCGTGGTACATGTCTGTTCTTATTAAGCAGGAAAACAGAAGTTCTGTGGACTGGAAAAAAGTTTGGAGAGGACAAATATTTGCACAAAATTAGCTGAATGTACTTACTCTGAATAAAAGTTTTATAGAAGACATTTAATTATGTATAAATAGCACACAATCAATCTGCATTACCTTTTAAAATAAGCCTTCCTTCACATTTCAGCTAATTTGAACATTAACCGTGAACAGGACTATATGTCTGTGAAGTAATGGTTTTCGTAATTTTTATGGATATCAACAAGTACCCTTTAAGAAAATGGAAACAGAATGGTAGCTTAGGAGAGCTGCAGTTAAAAGTTATTTTAAAAAGAAGAAAAGAGAGTGGAAGAAAAAGTGCCTCAAAAGCTTTGTTTAGTACGGCCTAACGCATTCCTGATTCTCCTTCTTTGAAGTAACAAGGCAATTCCAACTTTTTGGCTTGACTTCCCCTGCATTTTCTCTCACTACACTTACATGAACAAAATCTTATTTTGGGTTTTGAGTCATGCCATTTAAATTAACTTGTTTGTTTTTGTTAGATTTCGTTACTGGACAATATAGAGACATTTCAAAGAGAAACGTCAGCATATCGTACCTCAGAAAATGTAAGTTTCTGATAACACTCATATGCCCTTCCTCATTGTAACAAAGTTGTAAGTGGACTGGCAGACCCAGAAAATGCTTATGATGAAGTGAGGAGAGCAGCGCTACAACCATAAGAAAAAGGGGAAATCAGGGAGAAGAGTACATTAAAACAATATGCTCAGACTCAAGCAGAAGTTTCTGGAAAAATTTAGAGCTCCTGCTCAAAGGCCAAGACATCCCATCTGGTTTTGCTCCTTTGGGTTTTCTGGGTCTTGTTGGGGTGATTTTGTTTCGTTTTCATTCCTATTCTTTAGCATCTTCAGAAAATACCACTGTTGTAGAGAACAGGTCTAATGCTGGCTAGCTAGAATCTAAGTATGCTTAACAGAGGTTAAATTATAGGCTTAATATCACAATAAAGATAATACAACCTACACAGTATTTCCATCCATGTATTTCAAAGCTTTTTACAATGGGAGTTTAACATTATTACCGACATTTTATAGGTGGAAGAGTCACATGTAAGAAGGCGGCCAATGGCATCCTGGCCTGCATCAGGAATAGTGTTGTCAGCAGGAGCAGGGAGGTGATCATTCCCCTGTACTCGGCTTTGGTGAGGCCGCACCTCAAGTACTGTGTCCAGTTTTGGCCCCCACTCTACAAGAAGGACATTGAGGTGCTGGAGAGAGTACAGAGGTGGGCTACTGAGCTAGTAAAGGATTTGGAGCATGTCTCCTACGAGGAACGGCTGAGGGATCTGGGGCTGTTTAGCCTGGAGAAGAGAAGACCAAGGGGAGACCTTATCGCTCTCTACAACTACCTGAAAGGAGGTTGTGGCGAGGAGGGGGTCGGTCTCTTCTCCCTAGTAACAAGCAACAGAACAAGAGGAAATAGCCTTAAACTGCACCAGGGGAGGTTCAGGCTGGATATTAGGAAGAATTTCTTTACTGAAAGGGTTGTCAGGCATTGGAACAGCCTGCCCAGGGAGGTGGTGGAGTCACCACCCCTGGAGGTGTTTAAGAGACGGGTAGATGTTGTACTTAGGGACATGGTTTAGTGGTGTTAATAGAGCTAGGACGAAGGTTGGACTCGATCAGCTTGAAGGTCTCCTCCAACCGAAACTTTTCTATGATTCTAAAGACGACAAAGGAAGCAAGGATGGACCTGGCCAGGGAAAGGCCTGTTCTAGGAGCTGACAAGACCAGAATATTCTAAGACAAATATAAGGGGTAAACATGGGTCATTCACTTCAAACTGAGATCTTGTACTTCCATCTGTTACCCCGACTACAATACATAATCCACCTCAAAGGGATTATAAAGGAAGAAGAAAGTTCATACTACAATAATCAGAACACTGATCTAAATCTCTTGGACGATCTCTGTCCATAACAGATACGAGGTTAACGTTTTTAGAACTGCATTTTAAGCAAAGAGATGGATAGTGAACTAGGAAGTTGTGTCACATTCCTCCCTATTGATTTCGATGAAGGAAAAATAAGTATTTTTTAATATAATTGCCACTGCTATTGCCATTATTAATCATAATAAAAATCATCATTTGCCTATACCTAACAAAGATTTAGAAGAATTTGGTTTTGAGATCAAGTTTTTAAGTACCTACCTTGTTCTGAAACAAATACGCAGTTTTTTGTTTCTTGAAGCATGTATATTTTTAAAGTATCTCTTGCCTATACAGTGAAAATATACAATATAAAAGCATAAAACCCTGCCCACAACCAAATATTCAAGGTCCATGTTTCTTTCCCCCCCAAAAAAAGAAAAATTAAGCAAAAAATCCACTAAAACAACAAGGACAAAATTTCAAAGTTACAAAAACTAGGTATCAGCTAGTTTGCTATATTTTTACCCAAACACAAAGGCCTCGAAAGAAACTTGAAAGCAACAAAGACTTTGGTAGATACTGTATTCCGCAAGGTCATTCCACACACAGGTTTACTGGGAACAGAAAGCCTCTCAGAGCCCCAGATGCACATAACATTTAGAACAGAGGAAGAACAAACCAGCCAATTTCAATTGCTAAAAAGCACACAAGAATATGGAAATGTCATCTGGCTGCACAGGGGTCCAGATTCAGAATTTCTTTTTACGTCTTTAATCTGATAATTCTCCATATAGACATTTTGATTTTTAGTTAAGCTAAATTGGAAAAAAATAATTGAGGGACATACTCAGCACAGCTGACATGCCTGAGTACTGATTTTGTTTTCTCTATGTAACAGAACATACAGACAATATATTCTGCATAAACTATCACTTATTTTAGCTAAACCTGTCACATGTAATTTCCATATAACCTATTTTCATGCAGCTTATTTTTCCCCCTACAGCCTCAAACCTGAATTTAAATAGCACATAGGTCTACACACAGGTCAACCTACTACAGCCACCTACAGCACAGTGTCACCTATACACGAAACAAAACTTACTCTTCCAACAGTTATATTCTAATTTTAACTTTTTTTTTTTCCCCAATGTGACTTTCAAGATACTTTAAATGATACTCTGTTCTTGAAAAGCATACTCAGAATTACGGCTAAAATAATTAAGACGTATTTTGAAGTAAGAAAACGAATTCAATAAATGCCTACCTGAACCCACTGGAGATGAGCCAACACTAAGACTTTGTAAACTTCCATTCCTGAGCAAAGTTGGAGATTTTTGAAGACCAGAGCTTGTCACACTTCCTGCAGCAGATGCCACAGATGAAGTTGGGGAAGCAGAAGAAACTGAAAGATGGGAAATACTTTCTTGACTTTTATTTCCTTTGGGTCTACCAGGCCCATGTTTACTTTGCTTATTTCCTTTGCGTTTCTTCTCTATTACAGTTTCTTCTTCTATTCCAGAAGTTTGAGCTCGTTTGTATGCTGTAGAAGTAAGGCTTGAATTACCTATGTCTCCAGGTGAGCTGTCAAAGTTTTTAGATTGGGAAACAGCTGATGATGAAGGGAGACCAATTAAGGAAGTGAAACAATTGACACCCCCCTCTTGACTCCCAGCCTCTCCTTTATGTACATCTTTGGTTGACGAAGCCTGTTGAGAATGTGTGAAACCATCACTTCGCAGATCTGTGTCTGTAAAACTCAAAAAATCCTGGGGAGACTGAACTGAACTTCCAGAAGATGATTTTATGCTCCCAGGAGTGCCCAAAAAGCTTCCTAAAGAAGAAAAGAAAAAAGTGTAATTATTTTTTTCCTGTAGCTGATGAAAATTGACAGGAAAGATTGGAATCTTAGATCACAAAATTTCAAGTGCAAGGACTTTATGAAAAGTGTTATCGAGCTAAAGAATTTATTTTTAAGATAACTCATTGCTTCCCCTACTGATCTTCACTCTGCTGGATCTGATTCTCAGATTCCTATCTGAGATTCAGATTTGAATTTGGGGCACAAACAAGGGGAAAATGAATAAAAGGAGAACAACAACTCTGCTGCTTAGGCAACTTTGACATTCCTCGTGTTCAGAAGCCACCACAAACACTCGGTGCAAGTCAGATCAGATTCTTTTAAACATACCTGTATATAAAAAGAAGGCTGACAGAAACACACTATGATCACATCTACACTATGCCTGTAATCTTTACCATTCTACCTAAATCAAGGGTCTGACACAAGTCAAGGGAACAGCAGTTGCACTTAATTTACCCTTGCTGAGGAGGTGTTCCACAGAAGAGGTATTTTGCAAAAGGACAGGAGAGGAAGTGGAGAAAAGTAGGCATTTTAAGACTTCTTTAGCAGCATCAGAGAACCATAAAGATCTTTTTGTGTAATAGAATTACATTCCTTCTGTAATATTTCGAACATAGTCATTTCATCACTGTGTTAGCGTGTGCAAGGCAGAAACTTGGGAAATACAAACACCTACTTTCACTGGAATTATTCAGTAATTTTATATGGGTAGATGGATGTGGGTACTGTTTTGTAGAACTCAGACTGATGACGACTATCCTTTCAAGAAAATACTCCTAAATATAACATCAGGTATAAAAAAGGTCCTTTAAAAAAATCATCATTTTATCAGTAGTACTCCATTAAACATTACTAAGAATTCCATTTAAAATACAATTTACATTAATACAGCAATTTAAAAATTATTTAAAAAATTTTTGGTTTGTATGTTAAGTTACATCAACTTCACCTAATGCAGCTTTAAAGCAAATACATGTACATAGTAAAGACCTGTTCTGCCAACTGCAGTGATCAAGGTTTTCCTTTAAATGCAGGATTCCAGAAGGCAATTTCCAAAATTTTGATAATTTAAACAAAAAATAAAACACTTTTACTTTTCAAGTAAAAAAGCCTGAAATATTGAAAGAGTTCTAGATAAAGTTTAAAGTATTCACTGCGTAAATAAACTCAAAGTAAAAGCAACATTATAAGCAGAAAGGACAGTCAGCTACTACACACGCCACAGCGAAAACTGTAGAAAAACAATTACTTTATAGAAAGGTCTAGTTTGTTGTGTTTCAAAATTACATGTTTTATTAGTTAAGTAATAAAAAATAGACTTCGAAATTTTGTCTTCAACTCTGACAAAGATGCCATAATAAAGTTTTGGTTTTAGAAGTGGCAACAGCGCATTTAGTGGGTTTCAGCACGTTCAAAACTCAAGCTTTTTGTATTACATACAGTAAATAAACTGTATATACTTGTTACACAATCAATTTTCTGCTTATGTATTTCCGTAAAAAAAAAAAAAAAAAAGTAAAAAGGTCTTCCACTTTGAAGAACATGGTATCTTTTAAATGTCTGCATCTTGAAAAATTATTTAGGGGCCACCACATTCTATATATTAGGCAGTCCAGTTTTGTTCTAATGTGCACTAACTAAAAAACAGTAGTATTATTGCCTTAAAGAGCTAAGAAAAACCCATAGACTCAAATTCATGTTAGATGTTACCCCCAGGCTAACTTTTCAGCACATAAAGAAACTTCTGGGTTTAGCAGTTAAAGAGAATACCTTAACAATCTAAATAAAAAGCATGAGTGTTGCCCTTTGAAGATGCACGTATGAAATGTTATTGAGGATAAAGGATTAACTATTTTTCAAGTTTTAAATATGTAAGATTTCTAATTCATGTCAAAGCAGAAGTCGTGTTACAGCGTAAGAATTAATACCTTGCTGAAAAGGGCTAGCTGCAGTCACAGTTGTTCCCGGATTTCTTCCAGCACCAGGCTTTCTTCCCCTCTGACCCGAGCTGTGACCTGCAGATTTCTTCCCTTTGCTCTCTGACCCTCTAGCCTCTGAAGAATCTTTTCCACTTGAAACGTGTGTAGAAACTTCCTGGAAATTTGCATTTGTAAATCGAGCTGTGGTATCTTCCAACCGCTTCAAGGAGCCTGACATGGAGTTGTTGCTAGTGCTCGTGTACGTCTAGCATTTTGATAAAGAGAGAAGTAGTAAGAGAAAAGAAACCATTAGGTCACAGAAAAAACTGTAACAAAAGAACTGTTTATAAGAACCCATGCTTTCAAGTAAACTTAGAAGTGTTCGAATACTAAGGCGACTGGCAACAGCAAGAGTTACATAAACTCAATTGTTAACATTTTCAGCAAACAACTGAAGTGCATAAAACTTAAGTCTGTTGGAAAAAATGCATAAAAACAACATCAGCTTTGGTTGAAATTTTTACTTCACTGAGGTCAATGGATTAATCTCAAATCTATGGTTACACAGTATATTCTATTTAAATAAGATATTGTTATTTTACTGCTTAAAATTAAATATTAAAATTTTAAAAAATAGACTTTAAATGCTTTTCTGAAAATGCAATTTTTATGCAGTTTATTTTGTCAAACTGGAAACACCATTCCACCAGCAGTGGAACTGCTGAAGGCTTCAGAACCTAAGAATTTGCATTTTTAACACTTTATAATCTGAACACCGAACCAAAATAAACTCCAACAAGCCCAACTCTTCACTTCCCATCATCACACTAGGATTCCCCGATTCCCTCCCATCTGAACTGTCCCATTCAGCCAGTTCCTGAAGTATCACATAAAGGAGACACATGGGATCTAGTTGGCCAAGACACACGCAGGAGCAACTGGTTACCTACCGCAGACCTGACAGGAAAGAAAAAGCATAACACACTCTTGAGCTCCCAATGCAGATTTATTCCTCAACCCTTACTATCCCCAAGAATTTTGACCCTTCTCCTACACCCATAGACTCTTCACGGGGTTTTCAAAGATTTTGTATTTAGGTCCATTCTTCTTCCATTAAATTTTGCCAAGAATTATTTGTATCGGTGAACAATAGTCAAAATAGGTTCGCAGAAAGTAATTAGGTGGGCAGGGGGACTGCATTCACGGTGTTAGGAAATGATACAAAGGAATGTATATGTTTTCATAATAAATAAAAAAAAATGGAGTTGTGATAGCAGAATTTTAATATCAGAAGAAAGAAAATGAAAGCAAAACTAGGAAAAAGGAAATACTATTCTATTATTCATACTCAAACTGTATATTTATAGTTTTGACTGTATAAAGCTTCTTCAACAAAATATATGGATGAAACCTAAAAGCTACTCATCTGTTCAAAACAAGCTTAGTTTGTTTTTCAGTTCTTTATAGAAAAGGGAAAAGGTTTAAAATAGTATCTAAAATTAACTCCATTAAAGACTACACAAACACATGCCTCTTAAAATTGAGCATATATATACACACATACGTTTTCTGATCCCTGACTGGGATGTTTGCTGAATTTATGCCTACAGCAGAATATTTCTTCATCTTTACATCCAGCTTTGTATAGCTGGTATAAAAAGTTTTCCATATTTTTACTAAAACACCTAAGACATTTACAGAGAACTTACTTTTCAGCTGCAAAGAGCAGGAGACAACTGAATACGCAAGCTTTGAGCAAGATGAAAAATCTGATCTATTTGCATACCACCCTGTATGAATTATTACGAACATAATTACGCGATAAAAATATATTACGGATTCTGTGAATAACAGTGAAGAAAAATCAGGTTAGAACTGTCAAACTACAATGTTAAAAACAATTTAACTCAAATTCATATTACTATACTGTTAAAGTGTTTCTAATGAAGGCTGAGCCAACTCTAATGTAAGTTCAGCAGTTAACTTTTCAAATCATTACAAAGTCCACAAGTATGCTCAGTTTTCTGGAAACCAATGTGTCACTTGACCTGAGTTAAGAAGCAGTGGTTCAAGTTTGGGTCATTTGAACAAAGGCTTTCCAGACATGCAATAACCCAACCCAAAAGTCAGGCTTTTTCTAGGATCCAGGATTTCTCTTCTTATCCAAAACCTTCCTTTCCTAATTCTGACCTCCTGTCCACTCAGTTGAATACTAACCGTAATGATAACTCTATGTAGGTATCAACAACCATAGTTTGATGATAACTAGTACCTCTTCCCCACTATGGCAGGGGTTGATTGATTGATTGATTAAAGGGAAATAAAGAGTTTAATGTAGCTCTACAGACCAGCCAGGGCTAGGCAATGACATGTATTAATTTGCAGATACTGTGCTGAGATTTGGTCTGACTGCAAGCCTGAATCCTGCTCTTAGCAGACTTTGGAGAACACGCATGCACATTGCAGTTCTGCTTTTGAAAATTTTGCTCAAACAGGTATTTGTGTTTCAGGTGCTGTAAAGTGTACTGAAATTTACATGCTTACTCAGAATGTCTTGAAATCTAGTATGATGCAATATACCCTAAGCAAATTAAAATTAGTATCATTTGGTCAGTATTTTTCACAGATTATATCTGTTACTTTAAGGAGCTAATTACAACCAAGTGTCTTACATACATCAATTGTTTTGAGAATCCACAAGACAGCAACAGGATCTAAGGCAAAAACGCAGCACAAATACTAGATTATTAAGCAAACTGGTTCATACAATAACCTATACACCACTGAACAAACTGCTTTTCTAAAACGGTACGTTTTACAAAGACCTAACAAATGTCTCGGAAAAACCTTACTATGCAGTAGCAAAGTTACATTGTTTGTTTCGGGGTTTTTTGATGTCAGGAGAGAGTGGCACGGACCAAGGACCTGAGGATAGAGGCAAAACACCTTTGTTATTTATCATATAATGGTTTACGTTGGAAGGGACCTGAAAGATCATGGGCAGGGACACCTTCTACTGGACAAGGGAGGGGGCATCCACAATTTCTCTGGGCAACCTGTGCCAGTGTCTCACCACCCTTAACAGTGAAGAATTTCTTCCCAATATCTAATCTAAATCTACCCTCTTTCAGTTTGTGGGGTTTTGGTTTGTGTTGGTTGGGTTTTTTTAACTGACTGGCTTCAGCGTCTGCAGCTCCCCTGCCCCCAAGCTTACAATGCTGTCCCCTCCCAGCACATGCTTTTTAAATGGAATACACCACTCTCACTGCTCACACTGCAGTCAGTTATTTCCCTTCATTTCCATACATACATCCCAAAAAAAGGAGATTCCTCTGATGCTGTCACTCAACTCCATTCCTTGGTTTATTTGGGAGGACTTGACTATTTCATCAACATGAAATAGTCTCAAAAATCAATTCTCAAAAATCAACCAATATTTGCTAGTGCAATTACCAAGCTAACTCTGTGTGTATCAGGGTTCCTTTATGCTTCCCATAAACCAGTTTGCAGGTTTTTTTCCAAAAACAAAAAAACACACTTTCATATTGCCAACTTGATGCACAGAGAGCTACCGTAACTTTTACGCCCCCCATATATCACCCTGTGTACCCTGAAGAGTTACACTACCGATATGGAGGAAGTCTTAAAACTTCTGGGAAAGCTTTAGATTTATGGTAAAGGCATAAACATCAGTCTTGCTACACACAGTACATCCCAAGGCTTGAGAAGCCATTAGCCCTAATACAGATGTGTAAGGTGGTACTCTTGCACAGAGAAGGGACGAACCACAGCAGGTAATCCTCCACAAAGAGGCCAGACAGTAAAAGCATGGTCCAAGCGAAAACCAAACAAAAAAAACCCCACAACACACATATAGCCTGTAGCCCACAAACACCACGCTGCTGCAGGACAGTGATGTGCAGTCCGAACACAGATTTCCCTACTCCTTTCATTCTCTTCTGTACCCCTCTGCAGCAGGATCTGAGCACCTCCCTTGAGAACCAGCTTGGGCCGGTAGGGTGAACAGAGTAGGGTTATTATCTTCGTCTCTACTATTACAGATAAAATTCAGTCAGTTGTACTTTCTATTGGCAGTATCTTTTATTTAGTTACTGACTACAATTTGAATGCAGATAAACTGTTCGATTTTTTTTTTTAATTAATAACACCACCATCACTGAAAAAAAAAAAAAGACAACTCTGTTGTTCTGGATCTGTTAAACCATACACATTTTTAAACTCTTGATACAAGCCAAAGCCCAAAACCTGAGACAGAAGCTTTATTAGGACTAAAATACAGGGCTGATAGCTCCCCCCAACTAAGAAGGAGACCAGAAGAAAACACAGAGAGAGAACTCAAATTCCTAAGTTATTCTAGTCCTTCTTAAAACATTCTATATCTATGGCCTAAAAGAAAAGTGAAAAATTTGTTAGTAATTAATCACAGAACAGTTAAGAATTTCTTATTTCAATTTTTTTTCAAACTTAAATGATCCAGACAAAGCAATGTTTGCTGAGAAATTACAAGGATGCACAAAAGTGCCTCTCAAATGGTATACTCATATCTCAACACAGCATTTGGACTGAAATCTCAGTAAAACTTCTTGGAATGAAATTTTGCAGGCAAGCCAAGTATACTAACTCACATAATGTAAATCCACAGTTTATTCTGCAGCCTTTCATGAATCTGTCTTAAGAAGCCACTCATCCAGATAAAAACACGCTTTAAGGCATCACCTGCATAAATGGTCATTACTACTGTATCACAAAAGATTAAATTCTTTAAAAAGGAAAAACAAAATTCATTTCAAATTCCAGTTCCCCCCACAGGAACAATATGGTAGCAGAAGTGATTATATACCATGATAAAATAATATATTCACTGCAAAGATAGACCTCTGTGAAAAAGACATCAAATCCAAATCAATTCTGACAACTCTACATAAAAGCACACACAAAATTAAGATATTAATACAATATTCTGAAATAAATATTTATCTCCGAAGAAAACAAAGCTTGTTTTATTATTAAAATATCAAATTTTGAAGGAACACGCTATGAATTTATAACCTAGAAAGGCAAATGCATGTAAATGATGTCAAGAGGACTTGGGGGAGGATCAAGATGACAATTGAAGGAACAAGCCACAAAAATATCGCTTCCAAATATCCAGTAGATGCTTTTTAAAAAGCATAATCACACGTAGTAACTTCATTTTAAAAACTGAACATCAATTTTCCTGATAACGTGAAGCATTATAAAAAAAAAAAGGCAGAAAATTAAGCAGATTGCTTAGATACAAAAAAAGTTACAGGATGCAAAAGGTTAAAAAAAAGTAAAAGGACACATATTGATATTTAAATTCCACAATGAATACTTCTGGTTTAGTTTAATTCCATTATAATTTAAGTTCTAGAATTACAGATTTTCTGTTCATTTTAGTATTTGCTCTAGCTCTACCTTCTTACTAACCACAGGAGTTCCAACACTCTTTTTTGTAATGTTATCTATTTAATGATTTTTAATACTATAACGAGATGAGGTTTAGATGTTCAAAAGAACATAAAAATATTTAAAATGTTCCTATTAAATCCTATAGATTTAACTACAACTATGGCTTGCTATACATACATATACAGTACAATCTTGATTAACAGTATGGTCAACAACTCAGCAAGATTTTCAGTCTTTACTTAGATTACATAGAGGTTTGCTAAAAAGGTTTGCTAAAAATGGGATTTTACTCTTGTTCACCTGACTAAAGTGTACACCCCTGAGTCATAAACCTTGTAATTAGGAAAGGTCTAGGGAGGACAAAGCAATTAGAGAAGAGTTAGCAGAAGAACAGAATCCAACTGTGTCTTCAGCATCAAAAACTTAGTCTAATAGGTAGGACCAAAACAACCAATATTTCAATATATTTTCTTTAATTTTTACACAAATATACAGTAATACAATTTTTTGTTAAAACTTACAATGATGATTATATCATCAAAGTACAAAAGGGATGTAATTCAAGATGAGATCATACATAGTATGAAACTTAAACAAAAATTGCAGAGTTTAAAGGAAGTTCCCATACAGGAACCCTCTTTTAAGGCTATGAATTTTACGAGTTGTCTCAGACTCAGGAGAAGTATGTTCAGGACAAATTACCAGAACGAAATAACAAATCACATGGACCAGTCAATACTATTCAAAGAGTTCTACAACTTAATTTCAACAAACACTGTCACACTCACCAATTGCAATGTCTAACCGCAAAACAGCAAAGTGGCAAATTGACTCTATCTTTCCTCTTTTTTCTTTTTCTCTTTTTTTTTAAATAAAGAGTTATTGGGAGTTTCAGAAAACCACTGACTAGTAAGTCTCACTTGATACAGTAGCGTGAAAAAGAACGCAGCAGAACCAGAAGTAAGACTAATTTCTCAGAAGAGTTACAGAATAATGGGATGTTAACAGGTACACATCCCCCAGTTCATAATCCCATCAAATCAGAATAAAGAAATATCGAAAGCATACTAAAAAACTAACTTTCTTGATTCTTGAAGTTGATACCACTAGTTGAGGGAATACTTCCAGAGACTAAAGAAAGTTGGTATTTCAATTGTTTTACCCCATCCTGACAAGGTCTTGGCGTAACATATGCCAATAGACATATGTGTTGAATATTGCGTCTCAGCAATCAAACTACAAACAGTTAAGACAAGTCCCAGCATCTCCACTAAAAAACAATGCTCCACGTACTGATGACCAGTCAATTCAAACCATGACTCCCTGACTCGGATGTCAAACATTCCCACATGAATGGGACAAATGTTTTCTAGCTTTGAAGTCAGAAAAGCCGTTCCTCAATACGGCTGCCCACTCTGTAATGCCATCATTAGTGTCATTTTTGTGGTGGATAGCGAAAGCTATTCTTGTATAATGCAATGAGAACTGTTATTATTTAACCCTCTACGCTGTCCCTTGAGTTAGGTATTTGCATAGAGGAGAGACCTCAGAACCTAATGGAGCAGACTGCCAAAAAGGCAATGTGACGTTAAAAGTATATGAAGCATGAGTTGAAATTTCATAATTACCAGATTAAATGCTTAAAGTTCAGTGACAGCTCAGCACACACAAGTGAATTTCAAAGGAAACATTCTAAAACTTCTCCAATTATTAAACATAAGTCAATGAAATAAAACTTACTGGAGTATCAGTGGCACCTGATTAGGGTCATATCACTCACTATTCAACTACAAAACTCTAGGCCTTTCTCCATACGACAAACCTCAAAGTAGTTTAGGATTTTATCTTATACAAAAAAATACCAAGTGTGCTTGATAGTTACAGAATCTATGCCATTATAAAGCTCCTGTATGTACAGCGGAATGACTACATCATGAAATGTCAACGTAAGTAATTGAAGTGGAAGAGGAAGAAAAACACATTGACTTACTTTCTCTGTAGTTACAGTAAGAGATGGAACCAAGGATGGTGAGGACTCCGACTGCTTCTTATATTTTTGCTTGTGTTTATCTTTCTCTTTATATTTCTAGAAGTTACAAAAGAGAATATAATCCAAGTTTAGCTTCATCTTTAACATAACCCATTTTACGTAGCATCAGCTGTTACCAAAATTTAAGACAGATGGTAATGTCCTGTGCTATTTTAATGGAAACAACATTTATGGTTTTTAATTTTTATACTATAATATTATAGAAACAAATCAAGTGTTTATATTTGCTTTCAAAGTACACAAACTGAAATTCTTCAATTATAGCCAGTATTTACGAAACCATTGTTGTTAATATTATCCATCTTCCCAATAATCAATTCATCAACAAAAGAAACTGGATTAAAAACAGAGACATGGCTTCTGCTTCAGAGGTCTTCCTGCAATTCTCACCAAAGATTTCTATCTTCATGCATTTCTGCACCTGCACGGTATTTTTCGTTGGGATACCATGGTAAATTAATGAAAAGTTTTAGCTTTGGCTCCCCTACTGACATCTCCACGCATAAGAATGTGAAATTTGATTTAGATTTCATTCCCAAGAAGCTGCATACAGTTTACATACTAAATAAGTATCTTTCATATTAAACCGAACAAAATACCAAAAGCTATACAAATCAAGTGTGCTTCCTAAAGGGGCTCAGAATTTAATTTTTTAGGTTTTTTTTAAACACAACATGAAGCACTGGCAGTGTGAATGAAATTGTGCAAACAGAGAGAAAACCATTTCTTAATCCAGAGCCTTCAGAGTATAATAGAAGTCTTCCATACTGGTAGAAATCAATTCTTAGAGGATTACAGAATCACATCAAATTGTATTTGTTTAAATAATTCAGACAAATACAAAAAAACTCCCAAGTCTAACCAAAATTAATAATTCGACTTATAATACAGAAGGAGTTCAGTATTTTTACCAATTTAATCACAAGTCTACACAGTCACTTTTCCTTAACATCATAATACGGTTTATACAGACAGGCAACATCAGAAGACGCAGAGAAACTGCGGGTGTGAAAGTTACCTGTAAGCTACCAGCACTCAAGTATTTTGCTTCTTTAACTATTTATTTGCGTAATTTTTGTGTACTCACACAAAACTCAGCAGAACAGCACAATCTATGGAGCTCTGTTCAGCTGAGTGCTTCAACAGAAAAATGCACTGACGCAAGGGGTTTAAAACTCCCATCAAGTAGCTTGAAAAGATGAGGAAGACAACTTAAAATTTGTAAGTCTGATTAGCCATATGAAAACTCAGTAGCTGTTTTGAATCTTAAAAATTATCCATGCTGATCTTTAACTAACAAAATTATTATCCAGACCCTCAAAAGAAAATACAATTTGTTCAACAGTGACTGCACAACCACTCTCACTAAGCACCAGGATGAGATGTAACACATGCATACTGTATTCAGGTATGACTAAGTATCAGCTTTCTATTTCAGTCACAACAGAAGTACCAGAAACTTGTCAATAATTTCTTAAATGTACCAGTCACAAAAGTGCTACTCATACTGCCAGAAAACAAGTAAGGATCAAGAGAAAACAGAACCATCTACACCAAGACTGCCATGTTATCCATCAAATCTGTTGATCCAAAAGCCTTTCACCAGGGCTAGTTACCCAGCTTACTCTATCATCAGTGTACATGTTTAGATAAACTTCAGTAACAATTTCACCAAATCCCAAACAAGCCTCAAGAAGTAAGTCATGAAACTGAAATCTAAGCCACTGCCTGAGTTTCTTTAGCTTTCATTATTTCACTACGAAATTCAAATCACCCTTAAGAAGTGTTTTTATTAATAATTTTGGAGCCAAGGCAATTACTTTAATATGCTTTAAGATGAAACTTCACAGCAATATCAGTAAACAATAGGAAACGTTTAAATGAACATGTTCTATGATCTCTTCTGTTGACTTTCTAGTGTTCTTTTACCTCCAGTGTTAATTTTGTCTGAAAGGCAAAGAAATAGAGAATCTGATCAAAGGAACAGCCAGGACTTCCCATTACCTTCTGTAATGTACTGAAATCACTTTGATGGTAGTCTCAACAGAAAAGGATGTGTCAAGAAGGAGGAAAGAGGTATACAAGAACAGGGGAAGCGAGGTGGCATAAACAACTAAGAGCCTGGAAAGAATATGCTTGAAGATCTGTAAAGTGAACCATCAGCAACCACATCCAATTCCTCTCCCAGATCCAAAACATCAACACAAACTTTACCAGGACAGCTTGCTAAGGTTATAGCTTACCACTAAAGGCCACTGGAAGGGTACCCCACCCGAAGGCCTTTTGTATACAATAATCTCATCCACAGGAGGTCTGCTGTCCTTAACTCTACATTCCATCCTCCTTTTAGGTTATACCTCCTCTAACAATCTCTCTCTTCCCGCCCCCCCCCCTTTTTTCTTCCTAAGGAAAGTTCAGAAGTCCTACTTCTGAATGTGAATTGACTCCAGATGCAAATAACATCAAAGAAATGGAGAACATTTCACTGCAGGAAAACCTTTGAAAGGAATGGTCAGGTTTTACACTGATAAGAATAAAAATTTCAGTAACAACCTGCTGAGATGAAGAGACTTAGCTTCCACAAAGTGACTCCTTGCAGTTGTACCCTCTTATGCATACAAAGCATAATAAGAGTTCTGAAATACCTACTTTTGGATCCTGAAAAGGAACAATAGTGTGACATGAATTCCACAATATTTAACAAATATGACAGCTTTCAGTCAAGACTGTGTCTAAGAACACACAAACTAGCAATCTCACTTACTGCCAGAAAGAAAACAAACAAACAGTTGGCCCTTCATGGACAGGTCACTGCATGCTTCACTTTCGTAAGACCTTCTCTGATCAGCCACAGCACAAAAAAAAGGCAGCAGCTCACCAAGACAAACATCCATCCAGAAAGTCACATGGAAGCCCACCATTCTAAGGAAGGTAATGGTATTGATACCAAATGTCTCACCTTTTACAAGCTTTACTGTAAGGAAAAAAAGGGCATAAATTACTCTTAACAAGGACTGAAAATAACATTGCCACTAAGTGAAAGCTAAGGGAGGCCTGAGGGCAGGCAGAAGTCATGTATCCCATTTATATATACTCAGACTTAATTTTTTTAAAGATTCATAGGTATGAGTTCAAATGTTACAAACATCTGTATTTTAAGATAGTTGCAGAGCTGATAAATGGCAATGCCACAGTCTGTAAAAACAGTATTTAGAGGAAGAAACGTTCCAAGGAAGAATACATTTAAAAATACAGGGCCAATTACAAAATTGATAAAGGAAACTTCAATCTTGATTCACAAATAGGGTAGTTCAACAGACCAGAGTCAGGCAGCTTCTGAAACCTTTCTTACTGTAAGAAAAGTAAGGCACGGTTGCCATATAGCCAATGCAGCTGTAACATTATTCATCCCAGAACCTGAAGAGCCCTGATTCACGACATAGCTACAAACCAACACAAAATACCTGGAGTTCTTATGTCATAATTAATCAGAAAGCTTTATTTATCACTAGGGATCTCATTTTTGGCTTTTGTTTCTTATCTAAAAAAAAAAAAAAACAAAAAACAAAAAACAGTAATATCTTCTTATATTCCAATAGCTACATGCTGCAAGATAAGAAAACAAATATGGTACAAGATTTCTGGAATCCTATAGCACCTTCTGTATATTGGCCTCCTGTGTAGCATGGGGTAGCAGGGCAGAGAAGCGGGAAAAAAGCGCACATTTTGATTGCTTCTACTTCTTCCACAAAGATTTAATCTACAAATTACTATACAATATGATTTCACAGACACAGTTTGGTTCCAACTCTTCAGTGTTTTTTAGCTCATTTACAAGTTGGATCACTCTAAAGATCAGCACTTGCTCATTCATTTTCTTTAATGTACTTTCAGAGGAAACATTTGTCAGACTACTGAATCAAAATATTATGTCATTGAAATATGTATAATTTTATCTTCGCTCTGATCTGTTACCAACAGAATAAATGTTATCAAATCTATCCTTCCACAGTCTGGACCTCAATGTCTGGGAAGACTGAATAATACAAGTGAATGATAACTTTTGCAGTACAGATGGAATAGACGAGTTCAGCTTTCCTCCAGTGGCATTATTAATTCATAACATTTCCACATGGAAGTATCATTTAACTTGTTGAAGGTATTTACACCTATTTGCAATTCATTTTTCTCTCAGGAATGCACAGCCTTCTCTAAAGACGCTTCCATATTACTTCATTTCACTAAACCACATTTCTGAAGTTCAGCATTTAACAGGTCACTGTTACAAAGGAGAGGAACAAAAAAAAAAAAAAAAAAAAAACAACAACAAACCCAAAACAAAACAAAAAAATGCTTCCTGACCCCTCTGTCACCCTTTCCACACTGCTTAGCTTGTCAGGCCTTCTGTGTATCAATTCAAACTGCTAGAACATCAGCAACAAAAAAACAAAGTGGATAGTTCTCTTCTGTTTTAGTGAGCTAGATTAGTTCAGTGAAGGAGCATGAGAGATGGACACTAACACAGACAAGAAGAGGTAGTTGCAGAACAGAGGAGCAAGAGCTCATCTGCCCAGGGAACAGGAGACTAACTTCTATTTTGTAAGAATTAAAACATGCACACTATCAGCAAACACCAGTGCTTGGCCCTTCAGACAAAACTGCTTGGGCTGACCTTGAAGTATTCCACTTTTATCCCCTTCTCTATTACAAAAACCATAAACCCCCACTACCTTTGATTGTCCCATGTTTTCAAATTTAACATTTTCAAATCTATTTTCCTTAGTGATTCTTGTAAGCAAGATCATCTGAATGCCTAAATCACTAATTTTTCAGCCGCTGTTTTTGACTCCCTCAAATAACTCCAACATATCAGAATGTTCTATTGAGTACTCAGACTGGTGCTTTTGTCACTTATGGATTTTCTGCACTCTCCGCCCATCACTGAAGCTTGTAAGTCCAGAGCTGTCACCATCACAACTAATGTCTTTAATAGAAAGCCGCACATAGTTCTGGCTAATCCCCAAGACAAGACCTGC